GCTTCAATGGCCTGCTGACAGGACTTCCCAGTACCCTGAAACTGTGTGCCACAGTAATCCCTTAATAGATTTTGTCAGAGTATTTTATCACAGCAACAGGAAAAAAAAAGACAAAGAAACTAAAGAAAACTGAAATAAATGTATAGATATTCTATGTTCATGAATCAAAAGTCCAATATCATTTCTTTCTTTTTCTTTTCTCCCCCCGCCCCCAGACAGGGTTTCTTCGTGTAGCCCTGGCTGTCCTGGAACTCACTCTGTAGACCAGGTTGGCCTTGAACTCACAGAGATCCACCTGCCTTTGCCTCCTGAGTACTAGGATTAAAGGTGTGCGCCACCACCACCAGCCAACATGTTTTCTTAAGAGTCACTTTTATTTATGTGTATGTGTGTGTGCCTGTGTGTGTGTCACTTGGGTGAGCAGGTTGACTGTGGAGGCCAAGAGAAGGCAGTGGCGAGATCCTGAATGTGGGTGCTGGGAACCAAACTCAGGTCCTCTAGAAGAGAAGCAAGCCTTCTTAATCACTGGGCTATCTCTCTAGCCTTCCAACACTGTTAGGATTGCAGTTCTCCCCAAATTGAACTAAAAATTCAACTCAATTCCTATCAGAACCCCAGAAGTCTTTATGTAGAACTTTACATATTTTTTGAAATATAAATAACCTAGAATATCAAAGCAACTTTGAAAGTACAGAACATAGTTTGTATACTATTTCCATACTTCTCAATTTCTAGACTTACCATAAACTTACAATAATCAAGAGAGTGTGGCATATTCCATACATATGGATCAATGGAACAGAATTAAAAGACCAGAAATTAATTTCTGTATACTTATAGTCAACTGACTTTTGACAATGGTACAAATGCCATCTAATGAAAAAATGATAGTCTTAAACAAATGGTATCTAAAGAGATGAATTTACATCTCATATAGCATATACACAAATTAAACTAAATATTAGAAGACAGAAGAAAAATGATGAATTAGGTAAAAATTATATATGTATCAAAAGCACAACCCATAGAAAAAAGTACTAAACTGGACTTCATCATAATTTAAGACTTGGTGCTTCAAAAAACACCATTAATAAAATTAAAGGGCAGAGTATGGAGAGATGATTCCCTGGTTAACAGCACTTGCTGTTCTCCCAAAGGACCCAGGTTCTATTCCCAGAACCCACATGGAGGCTCACAAATGTCAGTAACTCCAGTCCCAGGGGATCTGATGCCCTCTTCTATCTTCCATAGGCACTACAAGCATATGGTGTACATACATACAAGCAGGCGAAACATCCATGTCTTCTACTGGTCTCCATGTGCACTGCATGCCTTTGATGCACATGCATACAAGCAGGCAAAAGACCCATATACATAAAATAAATCTCAAAAGAAAAAATATTTTTAAGGAAAATGAAAGTGGGGCTGGAGAGATGGCTCATTAGTTAAGAACACTAGCTGTCTTGCAGAAGACTGGAGTTCAGTTCCCATCATCCACATGGTGGTTCACAACTGTCTGTAACTCCAGTTCCAGGGGATATTATGTTCTCTTCTAGCCTCTGTGGTTGCCAGCACACATATTGTGCACATGTATCCATGCAGGTGAGCACTCAAATGCATATAAAATAAAGTAAATCTTTTTTAAAAGAAAAAAATTAAAGGTAGATGAGGAGAGGCTTAATAGGTAAAACGCTTGGCATGCAAACATAGGGACCTGGGTTGGGACCACCCAGATGCCCAGCACCCACATAAAAGCTGGACATGGCAGTGTGCATTCATTATCGGTTGCTGGGGAGGTAGAGACAAGAGGGTTTCTGGAGCTTGTTAGCCAGCTATTCTAGCCAAATTGGTAAGCTCCAAGTTCATTGAAAGATCCTGTCTCAGAAATTAAGATGAAACTCAACTGAGGAGGACATCTAGTATCAACCATAACCTCTACATACACCACACACACACACACACACACACACACACACACACACACACACACACACACACACACACACACGAGAGAGAGAGAGAGAGAGAGAGAGAGAGAGAGAGAGAGAGAGAGAGAGAGAGAGAGAGAGGTGATTAATTCCTTCATTGAAAGAATCTCTTTATAAGGTCCCAACAACAAACCAAAATATGATTCCACCAAAGTACACTCTGGGAAACCAATGAGTTTGTTAAGCTTACTTACAGAGTGAGAGATGAGGGGTATGGGCAGCATCCTGAGTGATTCACAGCTGTCACACAAGAAGGTCTGGAAGTTGGCTTCCTCAAAGCCACAGAGATAGAGGCCCTTCCCTTTTTCTTTCCCAGCCTATACGCTAAAGCCTCTCCCTGAAACCTGGGCCCCTAAGCAATTAGGGCATAACTGCATACAAATTGCTGGGAGGCATGGTTGGAGACCCAGGTAAAGGTTCAATGACCCTCCTCACCCCTTCCCTCTATGAGGGAATGTCAACAGTCCACAGACATGATATGTGGACACTTGCAAGCAACCACAGCTGATCTGATGAAGATGGTGACTGTTTTGCTCAGAGAACACACTTTATAACAACACCACCCCACCCACACACAAAGAAACTGAAGCACTAGGGATATAACTCAGTAGTAAAGCACTTGACTAGCACGCAAATGGCCCTGGGTATTTTAATCCCCAGCACTGAAAAAATAAAAAAATAAAATGAAAACTAGAATAGACCAAAAGAAAATATTATAAACCATATATTCAATAAAGAATCCTTTGTTCAGAATTTGAACTTTCATCATTCAATATTTTTTAAGTGACACACAAACCATATTAAAAATGGATAAAGGATCTGAACAGATATTTTAGCAAAGAAGAAACAGGAAGAGCTAGAAATAACAAGAAAAAGGTCTACACAGCAGCACCAGTCATTATGGAAATATTAACTGAAGCCTCCATGAGCTGCTACTTCACACTCACAACAGTAGTAAAATGACTATAATTTAAAAAACAACAAATGGCAGGCTGGAGTGGTAATGGCCTTTAATCCCAGCACTCAGGAGGCAGAGGCAGGTGGACCTCTGAGTTCGAAGTCAGCCTGGTCTATAGAGTGCCAGGACAGCCAAGGCAGTCACAGAGAGAAACACTGTCTCAAAAAAACCAAACCAAAAACAACAAAACAAAACAAAACAAAAAAGGTTAAAAAAACAACAAATGCTAGAGTGCATGAGGAAAAACTATCAGTTGTGGGAAAAAAGAACAGTACAGCCACTTTAATAATATTTTGGCAGTTTCTTATAACGTAAACATAAATTTATAATACCCTCAAAAATTTCACTTAAAAGTATCTGCTCAAGAGAAATGAAAATGTCTGTAGAGTCTTATATACATTATCAGAATAGCATTCAAACTGGAAATAATTCTAAGTGATGAATAAACAAACAAAATACAATATATTCATATGGTGGAATATTATTTATCCACAAAAATTAATAAAGTACTAATATATACTACAACTCAGATGAACCTCAAAATAATCTAAGTGAAAGAGACTAGTCCAAAAGGGCCACATATCATATGAATTGCCAGAAAAAGGCAAAGTTATGGAGATGGCAATCAGAATAGTGGTTACCTAGGTCCAGAAATAGGAGTGAGAATTGATTATAAATGGTGGATACTAGACTACTTTTTTTTCTTTATTTGTTGTATGTGTGTGAATGTGGCACATGTGTGCAAAGAATGTGTGTGGAGGTCAGAGGACAACTTTTGGGAGCAGGTTCTCACCTCTCCACTTTGTTTGAGGCAGGGTCTTGTTTGCTGCTATTGCTGGACCACATACTCCAAGCTAGCTAGTCCAGGCGTTCTAGCCCAATTTCCTGTCTTCACCACCCATGTGACTGTAGAAGAGCCGAGTTAACAGATGCACACACTACAGCGTCTGACTTTTTACATAGATTCCAGGAATCAAACTCAGGTAGTTAGGCTTGTAGGGCAAACATTTCCCCTGAGGCTCCCTCTCAAATCACCTCTCAGGCCCAACACTGCATTTTCAGTTCATTAAAATATCCCAAAGCAGGACTGTGATGATATGGGTACAACTCTGAAATTTTATTAAAATTCACTGAATTATATACTTAAATCAGGTGAATTCACGGCTCACCAAGCCCATCCATTGACACGACCTAAAGACTGAGAATCCCTTTGGATCCTGTAAGGGACCCACCCCCGCTAAGAAGTGTTCCATAACGTGGGCCTTTCGCCCCATTTATGCCCTGCTGCTCACCAGCGGGTGCTGCTGGGTCACTAGCACTGAGACTTCGGGCTGTCGCCATAGCTCAGTGGTGTTATGAAAAGTAAATGACCCATTTCTTACTTTAAAGTGATGGGATTAATGCTTGAAAGGTGGGTGCAGATCCCAAGAGAAAGAGATAGGGGGTCAGCCTGGTCTACATAGTGAGTCTCCAGCCCAGCCAAGGCTACACAGTGATTGTCTCAAAAATTTAAAAAAAAAAAAAAAATTAAATTAAAAAAAAAAAACACACCAAAATTGTGTGAATCCATCCTTCCAAGGGAGGGATGAAGAAGCTGCAGGGAGGGAATGTTGAGACACACCCCACACACACTCCTCTGGCCTCCCCTGAAGTCTACCGGTCCCCATACCCACAGCCCCAAAGCCTCCGTCTGGCCTCCATCCCCAGCCCTTGAGCGCTCTTCTGACACAACGCCCTTTTCCCAGCCCTACCTCCTCAGTCGTGTTGTTCAGCTAACCTCATCACGTCCTCACACAAAAGTGGTTCGGGAGTGGCGATAGCCCTGAATGCGGAACGAAAGAGCCGCTGCAGTATTCTCACAACTTTTTTTAGCTCAACAAGCGCCGGGATTCACACAGACCCGACGGGGCGGGACGGACCTCGAACAAGCACCGCGTCGCGTCAGCCGCTAGTTCCAGCCGCGACCACGTGCCCCTCGAGCCCGGCCCCGCCCACCTCCAGGCCCCGCCCACGGCGCCCAGCAGTTAGCCCGGCAACTGGCGCGAAAGGGCGGCTACCGGAGCGCAGGCGTGTTCGGAAGAGCGCGGCGCGCATGCGCCCCGGAGAAGCAGGTCGGGTGAGGGGCCGCACCCAGGGTCCTGGAGGCGGAAGTGTAAGGGACTGGGGTCCTGTCTTCCAGTCCCCAACTTGGAGCGCGCGATGCGGGCGGAGGGAGAGCTGGGGTTGCGGGGGAAGCTTCCTCCTGGATCCGGGCCTGGGTGCGGCTGACGCGCCGGTGTCTGTGTGTGTGCCCAGGGAAACATGGAGTACTGTCTGGCGGCCGCGATGCTGAACGGGGTGGACCGGCGCTCACTGCAGCGCTCGGCTCGGCTGGGGAGGGAAGTGCTGGAGCGCGCCAAGAGAAGGGCAGTGAACTGGCATTCTCCGGAGCGATCCAAAGGCAGCGTGGGGGTCCTTTACCGCCAGGACACCTACCAGGAACGATGGTCGATCCCCGGTCCCCAGCGCCTCCTAGGAGAGGTGAGGGCGCGAGCTGGGGAGCTGCACAGTCATTCTCGGCCTCCCACTGGGCCAGAGGGAACCTCCATGGCCGAAAGATGCAAAGTATCTGGGCAAAGAGTGGAAAAGTCCTTTGGAAACTTCTTTTGACACTTTTTATTATTTTACAGGGGTCTCGAGTAGCCCAGACTGGCCTTGAACTCCTCAAGTACTAGTTTTAAAAGGATTGTACACCGGCGCAGTGTGACCAATTCTTTATGAGTAACAAAAGAATAGTTACTCGTTATTAATAGTTAGTCAGAATAAAATAGTATTCTGTTTGTCTACTTTTAAAATATAATTTCTTGCGGAGTGTGGTGGTGCACGCATTTAATCTTAGCACCCAGGACTCAGAAGTAGATCTCTGAGTTAGAGGTTACACTGGTCTACATAGCAAGTTTCAGGCCAGCTAGGGTTACATAGTGAGACCTTGTCTAAATAAGTAAATACACTTCTTAGTGTGGTGTCAGAACTTGGGAGATCAGGGCAGGAAGATCAGGTTCAAGGCCAGCCTAGTGTACATGTGACCCTGTCTCAAAAACCCTAAACAACAATAACAGCCTTTTTCTACTAATTGATAGTAAGTAAGGCCAGCTAACCTATTTTAGTTCCTGGAAAAATTGCATGTCTAGTTTACTGAGTTAGAATTCTTTCTCAGCAAGATCTCTCTTCCCAATTTCAGCTTGCAGAAGCTATCCTAAAAGTGAAAAAGGCTATTTCTCAAATGATGTCCTTTTCCAGTAGAGACTCGTAGGTTTCACCTGTGACTTGCCATTTATTCACATAGAGAGAAGAAAGGCGCCCAACCCTTAGTGCTTCCTTCAGAACAATGGCTGAATTCATGGACTATACTTCAAGTCAGTGTGGGGTAAGTTGGTGCGAACTCACACTGTGCTCCTGATCTGTGCTTAGGAACAATCAGTACTCCTCCATCCACGGACCTACAGGCCTTCATGAGCAGATTATAATCAATTAAGCCAGGTGGTAAACACAAGTTAGAATTCATTCAACAAATATTTATTCATCCTAACTGTAGTTGTTGAAGATACAGCAGTAAACAAACCAGAAAAGGTCTTTGCCTACATTGAGTTTTCAGTTGTGTAGGGGAAGAATATGGTGCTTATTTCCTGAATTCCACAGTTAGTCTAATTTGAAGATGTTTCCTTTTCCCTTTGAAATTAAGTTAAGCCGGGCGGTGGTGGCGCACGCCTTTAATCCCAGCACTTGGGAAGCAGAGCCAGGCAGATCTCTGTGAGTTCGAGGCCAGCCTGGGCTACCAAGTGAGTCCCAGGAAAGGCGCAAAGCTACACAGAGAAACCCTGTCTCGAAAAACCGGAAAAAAAAAAAAAAAAAAAAAAAAAAGAAAGAAATTAAGTTAAAATCCTCAAGGTCACTCCTGAGTTGTTTTGTGTTCAAAATGTGTTGAATCAAAAACTGGAAGCCTGTATGTTAGCTCTTAACCTTCAGTGTTTGTTTCCCGTTCATGGTGAATGAATGTCCCAATGGGTTCGAAAACAGGTGTTGGTGACAGAGATGGCCATGTGAAACAGGTGCAGGTGTGCAGTGTCTGCTTCCCAAAGATCAACCAGTTGGCTCTTTTTAATGGCAAATCTGCTTCCCAAAGGTCAAACCATGTTCTGTAAATTTGAGCTAGCCAGTTGGCCGCTCTTAAGACTCACCTAAGACATGTGACCGGAGCAGTGAGAAGTTAGGAGTACACTTTTGGACATGAAGCTCCCCTCATTCTGTTCTTTAGCTTCCCGTGGTAAAGTTCAGATTTCTGAAGCCCCAAGCTTAATTATTGACTTCTTTGATTTCCACTGAGAGATGAATAGTAAATTATGACACCATGCAAGATGTAGTCATTGAAATGAGGAAACAGATTTTAGGTTCTGACACCCATACACTGAGGTTGAGGGAATGGATGTTAAAGGCAGACCAGCCAACACTGAAGGAAAACACAGGCTGTTTTCTGGGAATCACACCAGGCTTTACATGTAAGTGCCCTGGATTTAAGGATACTGGTGTATAAGCGAGATGGAAAAGAACTGGTTTTGCTGTGCTTTCAGACTTCAGATGTTAAGATCCCCAAACTGCCAGTCTTTCTGTTTTGTTGGAGATAAGATCTCAAGTAGCCCAGGCTGGCCTCAGACTTGCTACTTACCTAACCTTGAACTCTTGATCTCCTTGCTTCTACTTTCTGAGTATAGGGATTATAGGCATCCACTGCCATACCCAACCCCCATCTTTTACAAACATTCTTTAGATTACAATAGGATTTCAACCAAGGAGCTACGGTTCAGAGACCATTTTTAATGTTCTTATTGTCCTAAGGAGGCATTAGAGTGATCTGTAACTTCAGCTCCACTATAAAATGGTTAACTTAAACACTTGGTTCATGGTTCAGTCAAATAATAGTTGTCTTTGAGGCTTAGCAAACTGGTGTTCTTTATGTAGGTTTTCAGCTATGTTCCTCTTCAATCCTATTACAGACTGGTGCTTCATAACTTCTTGGTCTTTTGAAGATTTAGAAAAGTGTTCTGGGTTTGGCTCCACAATTTTAAAGTGGCCTTAAAATGTCATAGGTCCATGTCCTGAGTTCTCTCCCCAGCCTCTCGTCACATTCCTTTGACGCTGTCCCTACAGTATGTTCCAAACAAACTTGTGACATCTTCATTACTCATAGTCAAGGGCAAATCTAAGGTTAACTTGGAAGAGGAGGAAGGAACAAAACAAGAAAAATGTGACTTTTCTGATCCTTTGGATTATTCTTAAACTAGAGATCTCTCCTTCCATTATTTCCCCTGTGCAGAACCGTGGTGCAAAAGGCTGCACGGCTTTGAGGGTTATGTTGTAGCCTTCTACGCTCCTTCAACTCAAGGAAATCCCTCCATTCTTCCCTCCTCCTTGTCTGAGTACCTGGAAGTAAACACAGAATGGTTGATCTGACTCTGTCAGGGGAGGAAATGAAAGGGTGAGTGTATTTGACATGGAAGTGAAGATGTGAAAACCTTTACCTAGCAGAGAACATGATCCTGCCCACCTTTGTTTACTTCATCAGAGTTCTTGCCCTACAGAGGCAGCAGGTGGCAGCAAAACCATGCCAAATGCAATTTCCTTGTCTTAGCATCTCAGGCCTAGGCCTGTGGAAAGGATAGGTAATTTACCTTTTTTCTCATGCTTCCTTCCATAACCTTGCTGTGCACAAGTATCAGAGAATCTTTCTGAAAATTTGGCCAGAATATTTAAATGTTCTTTCACATTATTTCTCTAGAAATACTACTCATCTATGCCAGAGGAAGGAGGGGCAACCCACGTCTACCGTTATCACAGAAGGAAGCCTCCAGAAATGTACATGTACTCAGACATAGGACATGATCGAGAACAGGTACAGGTCCCCATTGTTCCAGGCCATGCCTGTAGCCTCTCAAGGTTGAGACAGAGATTTGTAAGTCCCTGTGGGATTTTTTTGTCATCGGATACCTCTGTGACTCAGCATTCTAGTGCTCAGCAGACATGTGTGACTTCATAATCTCCAAGAACTTACAGAAATAGGTGTTTGTCTGAAACTTAAGATTATTTCACTCTAGGATCTTCAGCTGAACCTGTGATCCTGAGCTGTGAGGTTCTTGGGCAAGCTTAAGAACAACATATTTACATATACATCTAGGAATACAAAAGAGGGTTGTTGTCTTAAGCCACGTGTAGCAGCACAGACCGTTAATCCCACCACTTGGGAGACAGAGGCAAGTAGCTCTCTCTCTTGAGTTTGAAGTCAGCCTGGTCTACATAGAGAATTTCAGGGCAACCAGGCCTATATTGACTGTCTCAAAAACAACAAAAGACGTTATTTTTAACTATATATGTGTGTCTGTGTATGGGTATGTGCACATAAATGCAGGTGCCCAGCAAGTCTAGAAGAGGGTGTTGAGTCCACTGGAGCTGAAGTTAACAAGTGGTTGTGAGCCACCCAGTGTGAGCACTGGGAACCAAACATGAGTCCTCTGCCCTTAGCTACTGAACTATCTTTCCAGCCTCCAGAAAAGAGATTTTTAAAAGTTATATCTTACTGAGATAGTGATACTGCTATGTCTTTGATAATTTTTAAAAAGGAAATGTGAGTGGGGGTTGTCTCATTAAATATTTTTCATTTTTCAGACAGGGTCTTGCTGTGTTGCCTACTCTGATCTTGAACTGGTCTCAAGTGATCCTTCTTCAGCCTGTAGGGTGGCTGAGACTACCTTGGTTTTTATAAAGATAAGAGCTAGCAGCCCCTTATCACACACTCTGTCTTGTTTGGTTGGTTTGGGGGTGTTTTGTTTTGTTTGTTTTGTTTGAGACAGGGTTTTTCTGTATAGCCTTGACTGTCTCGGAACTCACTCTGTAGACCAGGCTGGCCTTGAACTCACAGAGATCCTCCTGCCTCTGCCTCCTTAGTGCTGGGATCAGAGGTGTGCGCCACCACAGCCCGGCTCACACTCTATCTTTTAATATGTGTTAATATCTTATGATATTAAAGATTATATCTTTTAATATGTTTTGTACAGCTTTTGGGTTGGCAGTCGTGGTGAAGGAGGCTAGCTGAGAGCCAGCGCGCAGTGGCAGTAGGGGCAGGGAGCGGCGACGGGCCCTGCCAGCTGGGAGCCTCTAGGAGGGACGACACTGGCCTAGGCAGGGCCCCCCTGGGTGGTGCCTACAGATTTAAGCCTCTTCAGAGTCTGGAGAAAATGGCAGAGACAGCAGCAGAGCCTTCTGGGCAGCTTGTTCACTCAGACACTCACAGTCACACCGTCCTGGCTAGCCTTGAGGACCAGAGAGAGAGAGGCTTTCTCTGTGGTATTACTGTAATTGTGGAGAACGTGCATTTCTGCGTCCACAAAGCTTTTCTTGCTGCCAGCAGCGAATATTTCTCAATGATGTTTGTGGAAGTGGGCGAGATTGGCCAGTCTATTTATATGTTGGAAGGCATGGTTGCAGACACCTTTGGTATTCTGCTGGAATTTATCTATACAGGCTATCTACAGGCCAGTAAGAAAACTACAGAACAGATCCTGCCTACTGCTCAATTCTTAAAAGTCTGTGATCTGATAAAGGCTTACACAGACTTCCAGACTAACCATAGCTCTCCAAAGCCGCTGGCTCTGAACGGCACTGGTACTCCAGTGGTTGTTATTTCTAGTAAGAAGAATGATTCTCTAAAACGGAAGCAGGGAAGACCAAGAAAAGGCAATAGTGTGCGAGAGGGGAAATCAGAACTCGCTTCAGAGGAAGACATGCAGCTGAGAGTGAACAATTCAGTTCAGAATAGACAAAACTTGGTGGTTAAAGAAGGAGACGGTGTGGAGCTGAATTCAGGCACAGATCCCAAAGGAAAAGGCATCTGAATCCGCTGGTGAGCCAGGTAGCGTGGAAAAGGCATCTGAATCCGCTGGTGAGCCAGGTAGAGTGGAGGAGATGCTCGCTGAGGATGAGAACTGTGACCCCAAGGCTTAGGATGGACAGGATAGCCTGAGTAGGTACAGCAAGTGGAGGATTCAGAGATCTGTCAAATTTAAAGATTACAAACTCAGTGGAGATGAAGACAACCAGTGTTCAGCCCAGAGGATATGAGGGGAAAAAAGCTGTTCAGCCCAGAGGATATGAGGGGAAAAAAGTGCGCCAGCAGTCCTGAGGCCTGGTGTAAAGACTGTGGCAAAGTCTTTAAGTATAATCACTTTTTAGCAATCCACCAAAGATGCCACACTTAGAGCAACCTGTTGAGAAATTTGGAGTTGTGGTCATGACAGTATTTATTTATTGTTCAATTTCTATATGATAGGCATTATAATAAAGTCTTCTTACATGCCATTTTATATAGGTCTCTTAGTAATCCCACAGTAGGTAATATCTCGTGTACAGATCCAGTCTTACTTCGAGCAGACTCACCCATGCCATGATAACCCAGCCAACCTGATTCAGAACCCTTGGTTTTTGTTTGTTTTTTTCTTATCAAGTTATTAAGCACCTCCTGCCTTTTGATTTGTGAATGTTCCTCATCTTGGCAGAAACATTCTCTTGCCCTGTTCTACAGATGTCTTTATAGTTTAGCCATCTTGTAAATATTCCTCCTTTTGGATATCTCTGACTCAGCGTTGGTATTTGTCCACCTTGTTACTGAAATGTCCTTTGTCCTCTCATATGGCCAATATGGCAGCCACTAGCAACACAGGGACCTTTTTTCCTCTTATACAGTACTGAGGATGGAACCCAGGGTTTAGGTGCATGCCAGCCAAGCATTGTACAGCCGAGCTCTATCCCAGCCCTACATAAATTTTATCACTTGAGTTTTAGATAGCTAGACTGAGAAACTGAATTTTAATTTTGTTGTTTGAATAACCACATATGTCTGATGACTACCATATTGGACAATGTATCTAGCAGAAATTCTCGAGTTCTTTCTTGAGCTGTTTGATTTCAGGTCAGGTTGTAATTGTCACTTGTAAGCTTATGTATAGGGGCTAGTGTTTTAAATTTTGCTTTCACATGACTTAGTGGCACCTGCTGCTGTGTTTCTGAGCCTGCGCGTTAGAACCACCCAGAGCTTCTGCAACCCCCTGTGCTCCTCCACACTCAGGCTTCTGGTTGATTTGTCTGGATTGGCCATGTTTGAAGTTTCCCAGAGATGGAGCTCTGTCGATAGAGTGCATGTACAAAGCCCTGGCGTTACTCCCCAACACCACAGAAACGGGGCAAGGTTGCATGTTCTGTGATCCCAGCACTCCACAAGTAGAGACAGTAGGATCTAAATTTCAGGGTCATCCTTGGCTGCAAGGCAAGCCAGTGATACATGAGGTGCCTCTCAAAAAAGAAAGCCCCTCAGAAATTATGTATATTGAAAACTTGACTTAGGGTACTTTGGACAGAACAGAATCCCAACTATGTGTTGAACTGTGGTGGATTCTATTTTATTTTTTTCTAATGGGCTCTGTAACTAATAGATTCTAATACTAGATTGTATTGTAGCTATTTTTATCCAAGTTGTGCATACTTTAAAGCATTACATTGTTCAGTGAAACTTAAGGAGAAAAAAATATATGTTGTGCAAAAGAAAAAGGTTCTGTTTGTTCAACAGAAGTAGGCTTTTTGTTTTGAGTTTACTTAAACTCCTTTAATTATTCTCAAAGCTGACAGACTTAAGTCCAGAATCAAATCCCTGACTTCTCTGGTCTATGAGTCATCTTAGGGTAGTAGAGTAAAGGGGTCTAGTGACAGGAGTGAGCATGGGCATGTGAGTGGACTCAGTGCAGGCAGCAAGAACCCTTTGAGTTGTCCTGAAATCCCCTTTCCACCCTGGCCTGATCTCTGCTAAGAGCAACATTCCTCTTTCCTGTGATGGATAAAAATGGTACCTCTAAGGCTTTATCCATGTTCCCTGCTAATACCATTCCTATGAGAAGCAGAGAAGAAAACTGTGTTTGTGAAAGTCTGTTGGGTGTCATGACTTTAGCATTTCAATCTTCCCTTCCATCCAGGAGACCAAGGCTCTGAGTTAAGTGAATCCTTCTAGTGAGTAACAGGACATGGGATTTAAACTCAAGTTTGCCAGACTCTATAGTTCACATAAGGAAAAGTAACAATGGAAAACACATGTCTAAAAATAGCTCTAAATGTACCAAACATATCATTAATAACAGGTGACAGATGAGAAAAGGCATAGGAAATAATCCTAATAAGAGAAAATGTCTCTGCTTTCAGAAGGTCAAAGCTCAGGTCATAATCGATATTTATCTTGACAGAGAAACAGCAGAGAAGAGACATCTGTTGGTCCAGGAAGTATCTACCAAACATCAGAGCATTCTCAAGAGGTATCCTGGCCTGTGAGTACAGAGCTTCATGTGTGCTGGGCTTCACTACCCTTCTGTAAGCCAGCTGACTTGTTACCAACTGGGCTCCATTTGTATGGAGCTCTACAGTGTCTTCAAATTGAGAGGTTTACTTGAAGGTCCACAAGATTTTGGTTCAGTGCAAAATTCTGTTTTCTTAGTGTTTTCCTTCACTGGAGGCTTAAGGGATGCTCTGTGTGCCTCAGCTCATAGTTGTGGTTGGAAAGAATGTTAAGTATTCACAGCTCCCTTCCTAGGCTCAGCTGGGCTGGCATTGGCTCCTGCTAGAATTCCATCTGTTGAAGCAGCAGGAGGGTCTGACCCTCTGCTTGTAAAATGCAGCCATTGCTGAAATTCCAGAATATGTACATGTGGTGATACTGGGTTCCAAAACATTTGAAATGTTTCTGTGGAGGAGAAAAAAAGAAATAGATACGGGTTTTTCAGTTTCAGGACCAAGGAGTAAGTAAGTAGTCTTTGAGCCTAGGGAGTTTGTTTGAGACTTGGAAGAGCTGGAATTCGAGGAAGGAACTTAGACATGTCGCTGCAATAAATCCCTTTTTGTTTGTATAAAGTTTGTTACTAACCAGGATTCAGATATTTTAGAGTTATTAGCAACTAAAAAATTTTGCTTCTAGTACAAATGCAAGCTGTCAGCTGTGGGTATCTTCATTAGTGCTGCTTTTGGTAATTCTGATTGGCCTGGATGTGAAGATGAATTTTTTTTTTTAGGTTTATTTTATGTGTATGTGTGTGTACTTTCATGTATGTATGTATACCACATGCATGTTTGGTACCCTCAGAGGCTAGAAGAGATTGTCAGGTCCCCTAGAACTGGATTTACAGGGTTTGGTGAGCCATCACCATTGCCTGGGTTCTGAGATCCAAACCTGCATCCTCTACAAGAGCAGCAATCAAGTGCTCATAACTCCTGAGCCATCTCTCCAGCCCCCCACACAAATACACGCTAACCTCAACGCTGCCGTGTATGGAGATGAATGGAGCATATCCTTGGCTAGGATTCTGAGGCGCCTGTATATTACACAGTTGTCCTCTGGTAAACAGCAGTGTCATTACCACCCTCCTCACATCAGTTAAAGGGTGTCGGACCTTTAATTTTTCAGAAGTGGAAGAATGATAACATAAAGTAGCTGTTGAAAGTGTTGACCTCAAGTCTGTCATCAAGGCAATGTGGGATGAAATTTCATGGAAGTACAAATATCACTTATTCCTGCTATAGAATTTTCTGGCCAATAGTTTCATTAGTCTCCCTTGTGTGGTGTAAGAAATGACAACTCTGCCCGTGGTTCTTTCCCAGCATTGAGCAGACATGAAGTAGCTACCCAGATACGTTTTTGTTTTTTGTTTTTTTCTTTGAGATAAGGTTTCTTTATGTAGCCCTGGCCATCCTAAAACTCACTGGGTAGACCAAGCTGGCCTTGAACTCAGAGATCCTCACCTGCCTCTTCTTCCCAAGTGCTGGGAATAAAGGTGTGTGCCGCTATGCCCAGCTCAGCCAAGCTCAGCCCAGATGCACTTTGGCTCTTACCTGCTCTCTCCTGTTTTGTGACTTTGCCTTTTCGCCCATGTGAACTAAGGCCCATCCCCTGCAAGTGCCCTGAGCCACTTCCCAGCCAGGTATGAAGTCTAGCCTTGGAGGATGGTTTCTACTCAGTTCAGCTATGAACACTGTCCCATCAACTCCAGCTTTCAGGGCTTTGCAGCATAAAAGAGCAGACCTTCCAAGTAAGTGCTTCAGTGACAGAGGGCGTCCATTCATATTAGCTTAGGAGAGAAACAGTGCCTCATCTTTCCGAAGGGAGTCTGGCAAAGCATGATTGAAAGACCTTGCCAGTCCTAAGTGCCATTTTCTACTTCTGATTCCCAAGCAGCCTTTCCCTCTGCCTAACTCCTACTCCACCTAGGGTTTTCCTTTGTGTGCGTGCATGTGGTTTTTTTTTTTTTTTTTTTCAAATCAGGGTCTTTCTCTTTCTGTGTAGCCCTGCCTGTCCTGGAACTCTCTTATGTAGACCAGGCTGGCCTCAAACTCACAGACTGCCTCTGCCTCCAGAAAGCTGGGATTAAACACGTGAGCAACCACACCTGGCAGGTGTTCTTTTTATAATTCGTCATGTTTCTATAACACTTTCTCATTTACAAAGTTTTGACATGCTTGCTTGTGGGTAGGTATTCTCACAGATTTAGAAAGAGGGCAACACGCATTAAGGCTGAGAATCACCAAAACAACAGTGTCATCATGTGACCAAGCTGAGCCTTGAAGGCAGGACCCCATATCTGTACATTCCTCCCCACCTCTGGCACACAATGGCGGAGATCAGTCTTTAAACCACCTTGCCTCTTTTCCTTTCAGGCTGAGGCCATCTCTAAGGACCTCTACATAGAAGTGTATCCTGGGACCTATTCTGTCACTGTGGGCTCAAGCCCTTTAACCAAGAAGACTCACGTGGTCGAAGTTGACTCGGGGCAAAGTGTGGACTTGGTCTTCCCCGTATGAAGTTGACCATCACTGCCATCATTTCGCTCTTTTTTAAATAGCAAGAAGAATAAAATCACCTATTAATTGTCTTAATAATGATATATTGATGCTACTTTTAATGCTGGCTGTCAGGGGGCAACCTTTGTGAACTGGAGTCTGTCTCTTTCAGAGCTCATTTTACCTTGAGATTGATTATACAAGTCCCCCATCCTTGTGTGCCTGAAAACAATAATGTAATGGTGCTGTCTGAACAGCTCTTACTACTGGCTTTCCAAATAAGTGTTAATTATGATAATAAAGGGAGAGATTTGGAACTAAAAAGAATTCATTTTATTGGTATTAAAAAGAAAAAAACACAATGTTTCCCATGTACAACTGTAGGCTTTATGAGAAGACAGCAGGTGGGCACACCCTGCCCCTTTTGTGATAAGTGTCCTAAGCCGTTCAGCAGGCCCCTGGCAGGAAGTCCAGTGCAGGACCACCAGCTCCTGTGGCCCTCACAACAAGGTGTCTTCCAAATGCTGCTTCCCTGCAGGAGCTCTCGGGAGGGGAGCGGGCCCTGTTAGACATTCTCACCTGCGGCCTGTGCTCAGCCTCCTTCTGTTAAGGCTTTGTCAGCCGCTCTTTTAAAACCTCTTTTCAAGTGTTTACCTCATTTTCCTTAACTTCCTCTAGGAGAAAAATCTTTAGGGTTGGGGATTTAGCTTAGTGGTAGAGCACTTGCCTAGCAAGTGCAAGGCCCTGGGTTCGGTCCTCAGCTCCAAAATTTCAATCTTATAGGCTGACTGTAATTTTAAAGATTTTTGTTTTGTTTCTGTTTTGATTTTTAAGATGAGACAGGATCTCACACTGTAGTAGCAGACCAGCCTAGTACACACCTAGGCTGGCCTCACATTTGCAATAATCATCCTGCCTCAGCTTCCCAAATCTTGGGATTTACAGACATGAACCACAATACCCAGTTTGCCTTTTAAGATTATTTCTGTGTGTATGAGTATTTTGCATATGTACCATGTGCATGCCTGGTACCCACGGAGGCCAGAAGATGGTTGTTGGCTGCCATATGAGTGCTAGAAGCAAACCTGGGTCCTCTTTAAGAGCAGCAAATGCTCTTAACCAATGAGTCCACTCTAGCCCCAGTTTTTAAAATTATGTGTATATGTGTGGACTTGTGCACCTGGAGTATAGGTACCCTCAGAGTCCAGAAGAGGGGATCTGACCCCTGGAGCTGGAATAACAGGTGGTTGTAAACTGCCTGACTTGGGAAACTTTATAGGGAGCCTTGCACATCCTTCCGGAAGCCTGGAATGAACTTTGTGGGTCCTCTGCATCTTCTGACACATGCAAAACAGTGGGTATGTGGTTTTCTGGAGAGGGGCCATATTTTTACCATCCTCAAACAATATGACCCCAGGAAGAACTACTTAAGGAGCCCCTTGGATACCCTGCCCAGGCATTCTGCTTTACCCAGATGCTCAGGACTTTTCTACTAAGGGAATTGTTCCTCTGATTGTTCTAATGCCTGGCTTCGTTGTCTGTGTTCAGCTTCTGGTTGAGTCTGCTGTGGTTTCTTGTTGGTGGCTTCCAGGGCTAGCTCCTGGGTAGTCCCCACAACTGCAGCTGGCACTCTGTCCTGTTGGTTGTCCTTGTCTTTTTTCTTTTTGTGGCAACATCTTGTTCCTAAACCCAAGATCAGTTAGTGGAGCCGGTGCTAGAGACAGTGGGAAGTAACAGCCTGTCTTTTCCTTCTAGCTTTGTATCCTTGTAAGGGAATGCAGAAGGCCATGTTTGGAGGGCAGAGGACCCACATACCCGAGGATCACAGAGGTAGAGCTGAGGGCTGATGGTCAAACTTTGGAACGTGACAGACTGGCATCAAGTACTGTCTAATGGAGTGCTGATACTTAGTACTGATTAAATACTAATCCTGTTTAGAAGCCAAATAGTACATTTCCTACAAGGATACAAAGCTGGAAAGGGAAAAACCTTTGTTACCTGCTGTTGTCTCCAGCCCTGGCTTGCACGTGGCTTTGTACCTATCAGTCATCTTTGCCAGTTGACTATGACAGGAAGTATGGCCTCTGCATGGTGGCTCCCATCTATAATCCCAGAACCAGGCTAGTCTAGGTTTGACCCAGACCCTGTCAAAACTGCTAAGAACAAAAACAGCAGGGGATGGGACTTCTAATGAATAGATCTAAACAGGAAGAAATAGCTGGGGGGGGGGGGGTGCTTTCCCATACACCATCTAGAACATTCTCTGTGTGGATTTAGAATATTCCTGATGTTGCTCCATAGGCTAATCCAGAAGCTTAAATCTTTTCCTGAACTGCAACAAAACACCTAGGACCCAAAAGATACATTCTTCTTCTTCTTTATGATTAATTATTAGAATTATTTTATTTTCTTGAAGATTGATTTTTAGCCTGGCAGTAGTGACACACATCTTTAATCCCATCACTTGGGAGGCAAAGTCAGGCTGATCTCTTGAGTTTGAGAACAGCCTGGTCTACAAAGTGAGTTCCAGGACAGTCAGGGCTACACAGAGAACCCCTGTCTCAAAAAAGAAAAAAAGATTCATTTTTATTATATATATATATATATGTGTGTGTGTGTGTGTGTGTGTGTGTGTGTGTGTGTGTGTGTGTGTATCTGTATGAGTGTATGTCATATGTACTTGAGTGTCTATGGAGACCAGAAAAGGGTATCATATCCCCTGGAGCTGGAGTTAGCAGGTGATTGTGAGCTGTCTGATGTGCATGCTGGGCACTGAACTCTGGTTCTCAGGAAGACAATAAGCACAGGTTTCTCTGTGGAGCCCTGGCTGTCCTGGAACTTACTCTGTAGACCAGGCCAGGCTGGCCTTGAACCTAGAGATCTGCCTGTCTCTGCCTCTGCCTCCCAAGTGCTGGGATTAAAGGCATGTGCCACCACTCCCGGGCAAACAATAAGCACTCTTAACCACTGAGCTATCTCTCCTGCCTCAGAATTTATTTTGACAGGAAAAACTGATTTGCATATATTTTAATACAATGATTGGGAAAGAGACTGAACATGGGTCTAAGCAGCTTTAGGTAGGAAGTGGTAGCATGGATGTAGGGCGGGAGAGAGTGTGCTTGTCCTTGACTGGTTTCTGTCCACTCTAGAGATTTCAAATCACAGCAATGGAAACCAAACCCAGAAACCTGGGCCTGTCTCATCACCACGGCCCCTCTGGTTAACCCCTGTTGCTCTTCCTTACAAGAGTAGGTACAGCCTTTCTTTCTCCAGGCTGTGCCAAACAGGAGGTGGTGGAAGTCAAGAGTCAGTCAGCATGAATGTTAGATTTGGGAACTATTCTCTTTATCCTGTCACTGGTTGGAAGGAGGATTCCAGAAACAGCTGTTTCCAAGCAGTTGCTGCCAAGACTTGCTATAGTGAGACCTGGAGACCACTTTAACAGAAGTTCCAGACCTTTCCTCTCAGTTCACCAGAAATGGATGCTTGTCTTTCTAATTGTTTCCCTGACAGGGGTGAAGGAAATATCCCCAACTTCGGATGCCAGAGAAATTCCTGAAAGCCTCTTGTAAAATACTACTGCAGGGGGCTGGAGAGATGGCTCAAAGGTTAAGAGCACTGACTGCTCTTCCAGAGGACCTAAGTTCAATTTCCAGCATCCCCATGGTGGCTTATAACAGTATGTAACCACTCCCAGGGGAATCTGATGTCCTTTCTGGCTTCTGAGGGTCCTACATATATGTGACACACAGACATACATGCAGGTAAAACACCCATACACATTTTATTTAGTTAAAAAAAAAATCTGAGTAGACTTAGGCCTGCACTGACTTGTGCCCAACCCTGGGGTCTAGAGAAGTCACCCAAGAAATAAGATCTCAACTTCCTGGAACTGAAGACTTAGTCCTGTGGTGAGAGTGAGCTGCTCACACGCTGAGTAGTCCATTCTGGCTAAGTAGCTATTCTAGGAACAGGCCAGTGGCTTCAAACAAGGCCTGGGTCTCAGTTTCCATAGTGTCTAGTGGCCCTGAAGCCCTTAACACTCAGAGCATAGTATGCCTGCCACAGATCCCTCCTCAGTGGACAGGAGATCAATGGCAACAGGCCTCCAGAGTGAAGCCCAGGCCATGCTTTTCTAGGCACCTGCCTCGTGCAACTCTGCTCCCTCACCTAGACTTCTGCTCTTTCTGCAGTCTGATGGGAATTTAGATAGGATGGCTATGGGGCAGAGAATAACATGCATCTCCTCTAACCTACCAAGATGTGCTCCATAGTCCTCAGTGCAAGGTGAAGCTAGGGGTTGCCTATCTATTCTAAAATGAGCAGCAAAAGGCAGTGCCCCCCCCCCCCATCTTACTAAGGGGCCCGTGTGGACAGTACAGCCTAATCACTAACATTTAAGGTCTAGTTTCTATACTTGCTCAGGTCTTGACTCTCATCAACACCTGCAGTCAGTGCCCTGTTAGCAGATGAGTGGAGACAGAAAAGGGAAGATGTGGCTAGGGATGTTGGCAGAGTGCTTGCCTGGCATGCATGATGCCCTGGGTTCTACCCAGTACCACATAAACCTGGCATGGTAGTACATGCCTGTAGTCCCAGCCCTCGGGAGGTAGAGGTGGGAGGATCAGGAGTTCAAGGTCATCTTTGGTTACATGAGACCCTGTCTCAAAGAAGAGGAGGGTGTTAAATAGATGTACCCATCAGAGCACAAAGATCAAGCCTATCTGTCCTCTCCTGGGGGAGCTACCACTTTCTACATCTGACATTCTCCCCCACAGCCTGCATTCCATACATTACTTTCAAGCCCACCAGAGTGTACCAGATTCCCAAGAGACCCTTGCAGCCTTTAGCCCCTGCCTGGGAAGCTAGTGCCATACCCCAGTATAACATACCTGGTTTTCCAGGGGGGTGGCTCAGGCCCATTTCTCCTCCAGTACCTCCACTCAGGCTGGCGGGGGTCGAATTGCTGCCGCGGCTTCTCAGAAAGGAAGGGGTCAGTGTTGACTGCCCTGCTTACCATCTGTCTCTCAGGAAGTCCCATCTCCAGATGACTCTCTGAATTCTCTTCCTCAGAGGAGGAGGACATATTGTAGCTGAACGCTGCTATGGCCTCCTCTTTAGGACCTTGTAGGGGCAGAAGCTGAGCTGTGGGCTTCAGCTCCAGCTCTGGGCATTTTCTGGTTGTGACCTCTGAGGTCCCAGTTAGAGGCCACCAGCTAGGCCCCATCAAAGGACAGCTGCAGAAACAGCTCTGATACAGAAGCTGGCAGCGGGCATGAGAGAGGCAGGGAGGGCATAAGAAGGAAGAGTTCAGAGGAGGCTTGTGTGTGGAGCATCCAGTGTTAGGTCCCAACTGAGAGCAGTGAGGTACCCAAAGAAAAGGACTGTGGTAGTCCCTTGTGTGAGGTGTTTCTAGTCTCTCCACAGCCTTCTTCCAGACAGTGGGGGGCACACACTGGACCCTGTCTAGAGGCACCTTAGTTGTCTTGCCATTCCAGAAGTGAACAATAATCTCTTCTTCTTTAGATGCTATGAACAGAAATGGGAGATGTATCCAACCTTCTTATTAAATAAGAAACACAGAACCAATGCAAAGAAGAAAGCCAAGAGGTCAGAGCTAAGAGCTAAAACCTTACCCTTCCTCCTGCGGTGGTCCTACCTCTCCGAACCAGAACTACCCCTGTGTTAAAGTCTTTATATAGAGTTCCTGTCCTGCCTTCTCATTGGTTGTAAACCCAACCACATGACCGCCTCCTCACGGCCTGTCTGTATAGGCCTCCAGGTTTTCCATGATTGGTATTAAGATTAAAGGCATGTGTATCCAATAATGGCTGTATCCCTGAACACACAGAGACTTACCCAGCTCTGCCTACTAAGTGCTGGAATTACAAGCGTACGCTACCACTGCCCTGGTTTCCTATGGCTTGCTAATAGCTCTGACCCCCGGGGAACTTTATTTATTAACATACAAATAACATTTTAATACAAATAAAATATCACCATAGCGTTTTTTTTTTTTAAATAATTCCAGGTTCTTTGGAATAAAGGTTTCCCTATCCCCAAAGCCAAAAGCCTCAGCCCCATCCCTCTGCTCTTCCTGGCTCTTCCTGTGCCACTGTGCCCAGAGAGCCTGTGGGAATGCCCCCCGCTCCCGTAGCACACTGACTGTCACCAGCTCTGGAGGATGTACTGGCACCTCCCTGCCTCCTAGGCTGAAGAGGACCTGGAGGGAACTGGTTTTCATGCAGAACCAAAATGCAGCCTCAGCAGAGGCTTTTTATCCTTCTCTGAAGTACAGCAGTGCTGATTGGCTGGCGTAAGAGGATGGTCAGTCTCTGGAGGACTTGGTGAGTGATCAGTCCCCATGACTAGAATACTTCCCCGCCACCACACGCAATGTCTTTGTTGGGTTTGTTGGTTTGCATTTTTGAGATAGGTCTCATTATGTAACCCACGCTACCTTCAGATTCATGATCCCCCTGCTTCAGCCCACTGAGTGCTGGAATTAGAGACACATGACATCACATCATGTGATGGTTTTGGTAATCAACATGGTAGTTCTAAGTTGTTTCTCTTGATTTTATTTTATGCGTTTTGTCTTTTTGGTTGTTGTTTTACTTTGTTTTCTAAATATTTTTATTAATTTTTATTTTATGTGTATAAGTGCTTTGCCTGGATATATGTATGTGTGCCACATTCATAACATGGTGCCCAGGGAGGCCAGAAGAGGGTACTGGGTCCCCTGGAATTGGAGTTCCAGAAGGCTGTGAGCTTCCGTGTGAGTGCTGGGAACTGAATCTGGGTCCTTTACAAGCACAGCAAGTACTGTTAACTACTGAGCCATCTCTCCAGGCCCCATTTTTTGTTTTTTTAGACACTCTTACTCTGTAGCCCAGGCTACCTTCAAATTTATAGCAGTCCTCTGGCTCAGCTTCCTAAGTGCTGGCATTACAGACACAAGCCACATGCCAGCTTCTGTCCTCTCTGATACTAAACATCACATATCCTGGAAGATAGGACTGTGGATCTGCTGCCCCTGCAGGGTGAGGGCGCTGGGGAGGGTGTGAGGGTTCTGTTTGTTGTGGTTCTGAGACTGCTGAGCCAAGACTCCCAGCAGTGCTCCTCTGGGGAGCCATGACCACCAGCAGTGCTCCTCTGGGGAGCCATGACCACCTGCAGTGCTCCTCTGGGGAGCCATGACTCCCAGCAGTGCTCCTCTGGGGATGTCAGGTCACGGGAGCTTCCTCACCTCTTTGGCCTTTTTGTTTCTTCAAGCCCAAGAGAACAGTGCCAGGGCCGAACTGCTGCTGCTCTGGTTCCCAGGGTGCCAGCACCTTGTCACCTGGTTGCAGTGAGTGTGGCACAGATGGCGAGAACTGAATGACATCTTCTGGAAATACCACTCTCCGTTGTTGGGCTGGCAGCTTTAGGCCTGTGACAAGGGGAGCCTCAAATTCCACAACCAGGGCCCCCCGCCTCTCCAGCTATGGGAAGGAAATAGAGGAAGATTTGACATTAGGGGCTAGGGAGATGGTTCCGTAATCAAGAGCCCTGGCTGCCCTTGCAGAGGACCATGGTTTGGTTCCCAGCACTCACATGGAGGCTCACAGCTATCCATATTTGCAGCTCCAGGGGATCTAACACCCTCTTCTGGCCTCTGTAACCACCAGGCATATATACATGATACACATGCATGTAATCAGGCTGTCTTAGTTACTGTCCCAATGCCTTGATAAAACACCATGACCAAGGCAACTTATAAAAGGGAGTGTTGACTGGGCTCACGGTTTCAGAGGGTTAGAGTCCATGGCCATCATGGTGAGGAACACAGCAGGAACCTGGCAGGGATGTGCTGAAGCAGAAACAGAGCTTACCTCCTGATCCACAAGAAGAAGGCAGAGGGAGCTGAGAATGGTACATACAGGCTTTTGAAACCTCAAGCCCACCCCAGTGACACACCTCCTCCAACAAGGCCACACCTTCTCTTCTTTCCCCAACAGTTCTACCAACTAGGGACCAAGCATTCAAACATAGGAGCCTAAGGGGGCCATTCTCCTTCAAACCACCACACAGACAAAGCACTCATACACATAAAATAAATAAAAAAAAAAACACTTGAAATAGAACAATAGGGGAACAGAATGAAATACAACAGGGGAACAGAGAGTGACGATGCATACCCATAATCTCAGTACAAGAGAGGCTGAGGCAGGAGAATTGCTCTTGAGTTTGGGGGCAGCCTGGGCTTTATACTGAATTCCAGGTCATGTTGAGGTACATATCAAGTGCCAGGGCAGCTGAGGCTACAGACTGAGACCCTGTTTGAAGCAAACAAAAAGATGGGGCAAGCAAGATGGTTCAGTGGGGAAAGGGGCTTGCAGCCAAACCTGACTACCTGAGTTTGATTCCCAGGACCCACATGATGGAAGGAGACAACTGACTCCTCCCGTTGCCTTCTGACCCACATGCCATGGCACACGTACACACATGAGCACACACACACACACACACACACACACACACACACACACACACACGGAACCACATTCACAAAGTCTGACTCTAGAAAGTAAAGTACTGGAGCTGGGAATGTAGCTAGTTGATAGAGTGCATACCTAGTATGTAGAAGACCTGGGCTCAATCCCCAGCACTACATAAGCCAAGCACGGTAGTGAAACATACAATCACAGCTCCTGAGAGGCAGAGGCAAGAGAATCACAAGTTCAAAGTTCAAGGCATCCTGGGATACATAAGGTCCTATGTCAAAAAATTAAAACTTGGGACCCGAGAGATGGCTCAGTGATTAAGACCACTTCCTACTCTTACAGAGACCCAAGTTTGGTTTCCAGCTCTCACAGGGCAGCTCACAACCGGTTGTAACTCCAGTTCTGGGTGGGAGCGGGGATTCTACACGCTCTTCTGGCCTCTCTTGGCATTACATGCACATGGTATACTTAACATTCACACAGACATAAAATAAAACTAATTTTAAAAAGAGAATTCTAAGCCGGGAGGTAGTGGTACACACTTTTAATCCCAGCACTCGGGAGGCAGAGGCAGTGGATCTCTCTGAGTTCAAGGCCAGCCTGGTCTACAAAATGAGTTCCAGGACAGCCAGAGCTGTTGTACAGAGAAACCTTGTCTTGGGGGGAAAGAAAAGAGAGAAGTCCAAGCCAGGTGGCTTAAGGGGTTTACTTTTCAGCATTTGATGATGTGCCCTTCTGTTAAATGTGATAAGCCATTCATATGCTACATTGTGGCAATTAAAAAGCAATGTTAATTGGGAGCGCACTCCTTTAATCCCAGCACCTGGGAGGCAGAGGCAGGTGGATCTCAGAGTTTGAGGCCAGCCTGTTCTACAGAATGAGTTCTAGGACAGCCAGGGCTACACAGAGAAACCTTGTTTCAACAAACAGAGAGATCCATGAAAGTCGCCACTTAAGTGGAGCCTAGGCCTGGCTCCTGGCATTTCAGAACAAGATTGTGTATGTGAGAGCAAGTGCCCACATGTGAGAAGTACATCGCGGTTCCTCTTTCAGGCTCAGGCCCATGATTCAACACACTGAATCTTCCTGAACAACTGATGTACATTTTTCTCACTGTTAAGGGATAAACTGTGTTCTCCTTTCTGCAAGTTGATGGATTCAAGTCTTTGTCCCAGTACCCCAGCATGCGATGTCCCCTTAGGAATCGGGCCATTGCAGGTATAATTAGTTAAGGTCACAGTGAGCATGGCAGGCCCTTATTCTAACTGATGTCTTTATACGAAGAGGAGATTTGAGGGGCTGGAGGGATTGCTCAGTGGTTAAGCACACTTGCTGTTCTTGTAGAGGAACTGGGTTCAGATCCCAGCACCCACATCAGGCAGCTCACAGTCACCTGTGGGTTCAGCTTTAGGAGATCCAACCCCCTTATACACATAAATAAAAATCATTTGGGAAAGAGAGGAAATGTGACTAGATAATAGAGAAAGCCATGTTAAATCAAAGGCAGAGATCAGGGTGCTGCTTGTTCAAGCTAAGGAAACCCCACGATTTTGAGCAAATACTTGAAACTATGAGAGGGGCAGGAAACAGACTCGTCCTCGTGGCCCTTAGAAAGACCTACACTTGAAATTTCTGACTTACAGCCTCAGAATGGGAATCACACAGTAGGTTTCTGTCAGTCACACTGCTCATCTTGCAGCACTTCACCCCACAGCCCTAACAACTCAGCCAAGAACCAATGTACTTCCGAATGTACGCAGCCAAGACACATCGGGTGCAACAGCGCCACCCAGAGGAGCGTGTGGGGAGCTGATGGGGAGAAGCACTTGCCTCTGGAGCAGCCTTGATCTGAGCCAGATAATAAAAGCCATCAGGTTCCCTCCTGGCCAGGACCCAGGGGCCAGCAGCATCTCCAACTCTTCCCAGCCAGCTAAGCCCCTGCCATGGTGGACCAGCAGTGTGGGAACATGGGTGACAAGAGGCATACCTGGGAAAAGCAAATGATATCAAGGGGTGAGCACAAAACCCTAAAAAACATCAATAGACCATAGAAAGGGCTCAGAGGGTAAATGTGCTTGCCACCAAGCCTGACAGTCTGAGTTCAACCCCCAGACCCCACATCGTGGAAGAAGAAAACTGACTCCCATAGGTGGTCTTCTGACTGCCACAGGTGAGCTATAGAGTGTGTCCCCACCTAGATAAATATATGAATATAAAATAAAATAATAAGCCGGGCGGTGGTGGCGCACGCCTTTAGTCCCAGCACTCGGGAGGCAGAGCCAGGCGGATCTCTGTGAGTTCGAGGCCAGCCTGGTCTCCAAAGCGAGTTCCAGGAAAGGCGCAAAGCTATACAGAGAAACCCTGTCTCGAAAAACCAAAAAAAAAAAAAAAAAAAAAAAAAAGAAAAAAAGAAAAAAATAATAAAAGAAAATAATAAAACCAGTAAGATACATGCCTCAGGGTCTGATCCGAGGAGACTCACTGCATGAGGATAATAAGGGTGTGAGCAACAGAAATTCAGGGAGAATGTGGCAATCTATGACTTCCTGTAGGACCAGCTAAACCTCTGGAGTTAGCAGAAAGTGAAGGGCACAGAGGGCCCTTTTTTGGACTGCACATTGTTTCAGGATAACCAAAATGAAATCTGCTTCTCTACTTGTGTTAATCAATGCTTGAAAGACAGCGTGGGATTCTAGAATGAGGTGACAAAGTGACAGGGGAGCCAAACTGTAAGTCGCTTGGCTCCAGGGGTCAGAGGGATGTGGAAGTGATGGAGCTGGGCAACAGAGGAGCTCCTGAAGGGGCTGAGGAGTAGTGGAAGGCAAAGCCAATTCCAAGGATTCTCTGGCCTGGGGCAGTTGCAGAATGAAGGATCTGGTCTTTGGGGTTTTTGTTTCCTTCAAATATTTATTTTTTACTTTTTGAAGTGTATGTGTTCAGATTCCCTGGAGCTGGAGTTACAGGCGTTTGTGAGCTGCATGATGTGGGTGCTAGGAATTGAAGTCAGGTTTTCTGTGAGAATGAGTATGCACTCTTAACTGCAGAGTAATCTTTCCAGCCCAGGAGGGCCTGGGCTTTTGAAAAAGCTGTTTTGTAGGCAAGTCTGAATATAAAGATATTTAACTTGGAGAGAAAAAAAACAAAAAAAAAAGGACTGGGTGGTGGTGGTGCACTCTTTAAATCCCAGCACTCAGGAGACAGAGGCAGGCAAATCTCTGTGAGTTTGAGGCCAGCCTGATCTACAGAGTGAGTTCCAGGACAGCCAGGGCTACACAGAGAAAACCTGTCTCAAAAAGATCAAACCAAACCAAAAGAACAACAAAAAAGCTTAACTTGGCCTTGAACAAGGTGTTCCAAACAAATAAATTAAGAACTTGAGCAATGGACTGGAGAGATAGTTTAGTGGTTAAGAGCACCTGTTGCTCTTGCAGAGGACCAGGATTTAGTTTCCAGCACCCACATGGCTACTAACAAGCTTCTGTAACTCCAGTTCGAGCAGATCTGCTGCCCTCTTCTGGCCTCTGCAGGTACTGTATGATGTAGTACACAGACATGCAAGCGGGCAGAACACCCAAACACTTAAAAAAAAAAATTTTTTTTTTAAATTTTTTTTTTTAAGTTGAGTATTTGGGCTGGTATGCCCCTATCCCAGGCAGACTGGTCCCTGGAACTTGCTACAGGCTGAAGTTCCTTTGCCATCTCATAGTCACACTTTAGACCGCTGACCGAAGATGCCGTTCTGGAAAATCCCAGGCATTTGAGGCACTTTCAACTGGACCAGGAACAGAGGAGAAAGGAAGGACAGAGGGCAGAAGCTGGTACCTGGTGAGTGTGCAGTTCATGGGCAGCCAGGGTGCCTGCGTGGCAAAGGGACAGGTGAAGGGGTCACAGGGTGGCGCGGCACCATCCAGGTCAGGGGCTTTCCGGGTTGTGGCCACACTGCAGTATTTGGGCAGAGGCAGCCCAGGCCTGGTAGAGGGCTGCATGGCCCTCAGAGCACCCACCTGGAGCAAACACAAGCATCACAGTTGTCTCAGGCCGGCAGAGGACACTCCCCAGGGTTCCCACACACACCCAGAGTTTCGGCTTTGGAGTACCTATCTCAGAATGTCCCTCAGGGTCTAGGGAGGGCTGAAAGAATGGAAGCTAGAAACTTAAAGAAGTCCCACTTTAATCCTCCTTCAAAGCTGCATGCTCACAGCTTGTAACCACTCCAGAGAAGAGCCACAAGAAGCTCCCATTGGGCTTTACCTCTTTCCTCCTCCCCAGTGCCTAGAACCCCTGGAGCATGCCCTTTCTCTTTACACACCCTGCTCTGGCCACCTGACCCCCACCAAAAGCCACCAGTTCCCGTCCTAACCTGGTCACCTACAGGACTAGCACAGGGCCATCCCCTTTGTGGACTTATTCAGAGACAGCAGCAGCCACCTAAGACTTGTTAGGGTCTACCATGGCCCAAAGCCACAGGTCTGATTCCAAAGGGACTTACCTAAAACCCCAAATCCAGCCGAGACTTCAGCCTTGCCACAGTCTCAGCCCCATCTGAGAGTTGGCATTCATGGCCTTGGCCCAACAACTCTTGGTTCCCAGGCAGGTTGCCAAGCAGGTTGCTATGGATGTGATCCAGCAGCTACACTGGGGCATGGGAGGGTACTGGGCATGTGCAGAGGGTGACCCGAAGCGCTGAGAGACTTAGATTTGGGGGTAAAGTGGGGGAATCAGGGCAAATTTTGTATTCTCCCTTAATCTCAAGGGCTGCTTCCTTACAGTGGGAGCCTCTTAGGGATCTAGGGGGAGCCCCGTGAGGGGGTGCTGAGCTCTACAAAGACAGAGGGCTGTCTATCCGCCTCTACCTAGTGAAGGCAGGAGGTTGGATTGGGAGGCTACTGAGTAGCCTAGGGACTCTTCATTCCTTGTAGTTTAAAACAAAATAGCCTTGGAGCTAGAAAGGCAGCTCAGAAGGTAAACTGCTTGCTGTGTGAGCATGAAGACCTGAGTTCGGATCCCCAGCACCCACCTGGCTGGGTTTACAACCCTAGCGTGGAAGGAAAAGATTAAGGGCCAACTACTGACCCAAATTGTGGAGCTCTGGCTCAATGAGAGATCCTGTCTATAAATAAATAAATAAATAAATAAATAAATAAATGGGAGAGCAACTGAGGAAGACACCTAGCCTCCACAGGCCCATGCATGTACACACACACACACACACACACACACACACACACACACACACACACACACAAACGTAACGGAAGAAGTCGAAGTATGTGAGCTGTAGAAGTATGGGGAACAGACTGGTGACCAAAGGAATAGAAGTCCAGATTCCTTGGGACTGGAGAGATGGCTCAGCAATTAACAGCACTGGCTGGTCTTCCAAAGGACCCCGGTTCAATTCCCAGCACCCACATGACAGCTCACAACTGTCTGTAACTCCAAGGTCTGACACCCTCACATAGGCACACATGCAGGCAAAACACCAGTGCACATAAATCATTAAAAAATAATAAGTCTGGGCGGTGGTGGCGCACGCCTTTAATCCCAGCACTCGGGAGGCAGAGACAGGCGGATCTCTGTGAGTTCGAGGCCAGCCTGGTCTACAAAGTGAGTTCTAGGAAAGGCGCAAAACTACACAGAGAAACCATGTCTCAAAAAAACAAAAATAAAGAAGTCCAGATTCTGTTCTCATGCCTGTATCCACAAAAGACTTGTATGTCGAAGCAGTCATGGTGCTCAATGGAGAAGACCCAAGAAGGCACACAGGGACATGTGTGTGAGTCTCAAGACTGTGGCTGGGAATTTTGTGTAAAGACTCTCTTCTTTTTTTTTTTTTTTTTTGGTTTTTCGAGACAGGGTTTCTCTGTGTAGTTTTGGTGCCTGTCCTGGAACTCACTCTGTAGACCAGGTTGGCCTTGAACTCACAGAGATCTGCCTGGCTCTGCCTCCCAAGTACTGGGATTAAAGGTATGTGTCACCACCACCCGGCTTAGACTCTCTTCTTCTTGTGCAGAAATAAAGAGATAGCTAATTCTAGAAGATTCTGGTGGCTACTTCCTGAGAAAGTCATAGAGAGAGACCTAGTCTCTTAAGCACTCTGTTCAAGTAGCCCACTGCCCCCTCACAGTGTGTTTTGTACTGACTTTAAAAAAGTTCATTTACTTTTATTTTATATGTATGAATGTTCTGCCTGCATGTATGTATGTGCACTACAGGCATGTCTGGTGCCTGCAGAGGCTAGAAGAGGGCTTTGGATCCCCTGGAACTGGAGTCATAGAGAGTTGTGAGGTGCCAAGTAGATGCTGGAAACCAAACCTGGATCCTCTGCAAGAGCATTAAGTACTCTTAACTACTTAGCCATCTTTCCAGCTCCCTGTACTTCTTGCTGGAGAGAGAGAGAGAGAGAGAGAGAGAGAGAGAGAGAGAGAGAGAAGTTAAGGAGGGAATACATTCTCTGTGTTGGTTGTGACGGTGATGGTTTGGGCTGAGTTTTCTCTGGCAACTCAAAGTTCTTTGAGTGATGATGCTCTCCTAAAGCTAGTTCTGCAGTCACCAGAATGACTGTGGCCCAGACACGTGCCTTGAACACCAGTCTAAAAAAGACTAGTGAAGGGGGCAGCCAGAAGGGATTACTGAATGAGACCATGGGGTTTCAGTGGTGGTAAGTAGGAAAATATTCCAAGTTAAAATGGAAGAGTAAAGAGAGAAGGATGTGTTTGCAAGACTGTGATTTCCCTTTTGTGGGGATGAAAGCCAGGTGGGTCCAGGCATGGTGGCACATGCTGTCAATCCTAGGACTCTGGAAGCACAGGCAGGTTGATCTCTGTGAGTTAAATAGAATCCAGCCAGAGCTACATAGTAAGAGCAACAAAACAAAAAACCACAAAGTAAACTAAGTGGGTACATTCAAAGGTAGCAGTCAAAAGGTAGTCATCGGTTTGAGCAATGATATTTTAATAACTTCACACGTATGTACACACTGACTTACAGGATGCACAAAAGGATAAAGAAACGACTTCAGAATGAGGGTAGAGCCCGTTGAGAGCAGAATCCGGGATGAAAGTCAATGGTGGTCCTGACACAGGTGACGGGATTGGGACAGGAGAATAGCATCAACAAATATTTACCAAGTGTGACACAATCACTGAGCCGTCACTCTTCAGAGGGCCTTTGGCCAAGGCTGTTAGAAGGGTGGGGTTGGAGGTGCAGAGAACCCTGGGAACTCTGTACCCTCTGAGTTCTTAAAGCAGTGAGGCCAGCATGCGATTCTCAGTCTGCCTGAGATACTTTAGTACATCTGAAACCCAGGTAAGCAACATTCAATGAAGGTCGGTGGTAGGACTATTGTCCCCTGCCCCAAACCACGTGCATGTATGAGAATCTCCTGGATGCTGCTTCAGGAGACCCCATTTTGGAAAGCGCCAGCTCAAATGACTCTCAGAGGTGGGTCTAGGGGGCCACAGCTGGTGGTTCGAGGGTTCCTCTCGGCCTCAGTCTCATCCGGGTACAAGAGAGATTGCAGGTAGGTGATGTATTTGATGGCCGCTCTCAGGGTCTCCACTTTGCTGAGTCGCTTCTCCAGGTAGTCCTCGGGCAGGTGCCGCCGTAGCCGGGCGTAGCCTTCGTTCACACACTTGACTCGCTGCCTCTCTCGCTCATTCCTCTTGCGGATGAAGGCCGGCCCATAGGCATAGTCACAGCGCCTGTAGCTGGGGTAAGGCATGGGGAAGGGGAAGGGGTACGGGTCCCCATAATTGTCCATGATCAGAGTATCGCTGGAAAAGGGCAGCAGAGGCAGCTCGTCCGCGTAAGGGTTTGGCACCGGGGCCTCAGGGCACAGGTGGACAGTGACCATGGGGTCCAGGTAGAAGGGCCTGGACAGTGGCAAGTGGGCAGACTCGGAGAAGACGGAGAGCCTGTCTGGAGGGCTGGAGTAGCTCCTGGTGTCCATCCTTTCCCCTTTCACCTAGAAACAGAGGTGAGCTTGTCAGTTTGGCCAGATTCAAAAAGAGCAGGTTTAATCTACTTTCTCCGAGATTCATGTCTTAGAGACTTCTGCTTCGTTTGGGGGCTCATATAGAAAAGTAAACAGGCCGGGCAGTGGTGGCGCACGCCTTTAGTCCCAGCACTTGGGAGGCATGGCCATGCGGATCTCTGTGAGTTCGAGGCCAGCCTGGTCTACAAAGTGAGTTCCAGGACAGGCGCAAAACTACACAGAGAAACCCTGTCTCGAAAAAAACAAAAAAAAGAAAAAAAAGAAAAGCAAACAGGGTTATAGTCATTTGTGTGGAGGCGCTGGGGTGGTGGCTGAGACTTGTAATTCCAGTACCCCAGAGGCTGAAGCAGGAGAATAGCTGTGAGTTCAAGGGCAGCCTGGGAGATATAGTGAAACTGTCTCAAAACATTACCACCACTAACAAGAAAGGAAGGAAGAAGGGAGGGAGGGAGGACCCCCCTTTTCTCTTTCCCTCTTCAAAAATTGGATTCTCTCTCTCTCTCTCTCTTTCTCTCTCTCGGATGGGGGGGGGCACTGAATCCAGGGCCTTGCACGTGATCAGCAAGGTGCGTTGAGCTACATGGACACTACCCTTTTGCCTTTGCCTGTATAAAGAAGCCTCAGTAGGTTTTCTAGGACACTGTTGTTAACTGGCTCCCTAGGAGGCAGGGAAGGAGTGCTTGTGTTTCTGCTGGAAATCCTTTAGGGGCTCAATCTGGACTTTTCCTTTCCCTTGCTCTGGATCCTCAGGCGGGTGTGTTAACCCTTTCTGAGCCTCACCTGCTTCCTATATCCACCTGAGGTGTTGACTATCCTGCAGTGGTTAAAAGGTTTGCATTTGAAAAGTCCAGGCAATGCCTCATCCCGGAATTAGGTGTTTTCCTTTTTCTTCACAGATGGATACTTATGGAGCTCTCTTTCTCTGCACCTCATAGAAAACCTAGTTAATATTTCCCCCCACAGTGGAGAATCAAAACATTAGTGTCTTCAAAGCACAGTTGCAGAGGTCTGAGCATGCTCATGATTGCAGCCCAGGTGACATGTGGGCCTGGACAGCGGATCCACAGCTCTGGGGCAACTGACTTCTCAGGGGGTAATTTTCCAGTGTCTTTGGGAGTCATAGGCTTGGCAAACAAAAAAGAGGCGAAGCAAAGCAAACTAACTAAATGTTTATGGACAAGACTGGATAACGCTGGGGCCGCTCTCTCCGTTTGTGGTTTTGAGACTGGGTCTTGCTGTGTATTTGCCGGCCGGGCATTTGTTAGAGAGCCGAGGCTGGATCCTAGGCATGTGGCACCAAACCTAACTTGGCACTGGATCCTCTCTACCTGAGCATAGCAGGAACTCTACAGACCTTGCTGGGTGACAGGAGGAATGGCCTTTAGGACCAGATTCTAGTGTGTTTCCATCCTTGTGAAGAGGCCTAGGCATGGCCTCCGAAGAGATAAGAAACTCGAATCTGAAATGGCCGTAGGGGCTGGGGGCTGAGGGCGGGGGCAGGGGGCCCAGGGGCTGGAGCGCAGGGGAAGAAGGGGGAGGGTTGTAGGAGGCCACGGTGGGACTGGCTGGGAAAGGAGTGAATGCCTGGAACAGCGTGTGCTAAAGAGGCTGGGGAGGAGAGTGACGCAGTGCCAATGAAAACTAAAGGAGAGGAACGGGAAATGGGAGAGGCCAAATTACTGACCAAATGACCCACAATAACTAACAGAAGACAAAAATCTCTGGAAGATTAAACAGGAGCCAGAATTCTGTCAAAAAGAAAAAGTTGCTGAGACAAGAAACTAGTTAGGAAATTCCCAAGCCAGGAATTCTAGAGGCGAAGAGGAAAGGGCAGGTATGACAAAGCCACAGATCCAGCAAATGGGGACAGGGCGCGCAGCTCAGCCCTGGAGTCAAACCCCAGCACCAAGTGAACCGGAAGGTTAAGGTCACCCGAGGCTAGTGAGATTCATGAGCCCCTGTGTCAAAGCAAAGCAAGACGGCTGGCGAAGGGAAATGCAGCCTGCACCGCTTAGTTTTGATAAGGGCCTTTTTTGCCTACAGCTGGCGAGTTAAATGGCACTATACCATGCCCTTGTTAGCTTTGACTGTCACCTTGACACAGCCTCGAGTCACCCGAGAGAATAATTGTCTACATCTGATTGGCCTGTGGGCCTGTATGGGGATATTCTCTGTTTTGTTTTTCTTATTTTATGTGTGAGTGCCTGCATGTATGTATGTGTACCACATGTCATGTGTGCCTGGTGTCCATAGAGGCCAGAAGAGGGTGTCAGGTCTTCTGGAACTGGGGTAACAGGCAGTTGCAAGCGGCTGGAGAGCTTTGCAGGGAACCAAACCCAGGTCCTAAGCAAGAGCAGCAAGTGCTCATAAGAGCTGAACCATCTCTCCAGCCCCTAGGGTATTGTCTTGACTGTTAATTGACATTGGGGGGCCCACCCCACTGTGGGTGGCACCATTTCTTGGGCAGGTGATCCTGGGCTGCAGAACAAAGCTAGCTAAGTATGAGCCAGCCAGTGAGCGAGTGAGCCAGTAAGCAAGTGGTCCCCCATGGTCGCTGCTTCCAGTGCCTGCTCCTTGGGCCCCTGCCCTGGTTCCCCTGGATGACGGACTGCAGCTGTAAGCTGAAATAAGCCCTTTCCTCCCCTCAGCTGCTTTTGGTCAGAGTGCTTTTTATCACAGCAAACAAGATGAAACCAGAACAGTCAGGTTCCTCAAAAGTAAAGCAGATGTCCTCAAAGCCACTTAGGCAGAATTTTATTTTGAGTCATGGTTTTTACTCTGAAGAATAATTTAAATAGTATCTTAGCCCTTGACCCAGATGAAATCTGAGTGATTCGTATAGACCACAGGTAATTAAGATTCTAAGTTTTAATGAGATTTTGAATAATTCCTAGAGCATGGTGTGTCTGAAGACACATTGATGACGAGGCTTTTCTATTGAGCATTTCCAAAAAGTCCTCCATCTGTGCAGGGGCATTTAAGAGTGGTCGATTTTCATTCATGCAAGAGAATTTAAGCATAAAATTTAGGAAGATGAAAGCATGCAGCCATGAAGAGGGTGAAGACAGGAAGCCTAGTGGGGGGTCTGGATGTGTGTATGGGGGAATTGAGTACAAGTTTATCTCCAAAGAAAGCAATGGATTTATGCTGCTATTCCAGGCTTCCAAATACACGCATGGCTGGCGAACACACCTACCTCGGGAACATCTCAGGTTTCTGTCTTAGAGCTCTTCTGGGAAATAAATAATGAGGTCTTAATGATAAAATCCTGAGAGATTCTTGATGCTCCACTGAGCATAAAAACATCAACTTTCATAATTTAAAAAAAAAATCTAGAATGTAAAAAATATAAAGTCACCATTGCACATACAATTGGATCATGGATGTGAGAGCTGGGGAAGCTTAGAGATGCCCTCCTTCCCTCCCTCCTCAGAGGCTATGATAAATGGCTAAGGTTTCAAAGGCAGCAGCAATGCTGGTGCCAGATGCCAGAACCTCCGTTCCTCAGATTTCCTCACCAGGACAATCTGGGCCTTTTGTTTTATGGGTCATCATCGACTTCTTAAGAGACTAGCATAATCCCACTGATGACAACATTTATCAACTGTGCCTGGGGCTTTTCTTAAAAATGCTGTTTTGCAGTCTCCCCATGGGCCAATATGGAGAAGCATCTCTTACCTGTTTTGTAGTTCAAGATGCTGTATTTGGGGCTGAGTCTGACTGAACCTGATTTATAGGTGGTCATTTAGTGAAAATATGCAAAGTAGCTTATAGTTAAACAGAACCGACTGGCTCTGGTTTAACTGTGTGTGTGTGTGTGTGTGTGTGTGTGTGTGTGTGTGTGTGTGTGTGTGTGTTTCTTTCTACCTACTATGGAGCTATGACAGCACCTGACAATCTAAGCTGAAAGGTTTACTTATGAAACTGGACACTTGGGTCAGATTCTTTTGTTTAGAGGGTGCTCCCATTCATCTGGATTTTATGGGTTTATATAAAATTATTTATGAAAAATACAATAGTCTCATAATATGCAAACACTGGTCAGTATTTTTTCAGACAGACCAGAACTAAGAGGGTCCATGTAACCTTTGCAGCATGAAGTCTTCTGGGTAATGCAATACAGTGACGTGACCCTGAGAGCTGGTGCTTTGATAGCGCCATGTTGGCAAAATAACTCCCTTTAAAACAAACTGCGAATTGGCATACTACAAGTGTTTAGTTTTATATATGGGGAGAAGTTCCTACTGCTTCCTTAAATCAACAGAAACTCGTGAGTCATGAAGAAAACATATTCTATAATATAGTTAAGCATAATTATGTTTCAAAATGTTTTGAAGGGGCTGGAGCGATGGCTCATCAGGTAAGAGCGCTTGCTTCACAAGCATAAGAACCTGAGTTCAAATCTCCCAGGATACACATTAAAAAGCCAAAGGTGGTTGTGTTCGTCCCTGGAACCTCAGTGCTGGGGATGGTCAGGTGGAGACAAGAGGAGCAGTGGGCCTTGCTGGCCAGCCACCAGACTAGCTTCAGGTTCAATGAAGGACCCTGCCTCAAAGGAACAGAGTGTAGAGTAATAAAGGGCACCTGACACCCTCCATAACACACACACACACACACACACACACACACACACACACACCCCTTACATATATATGCACACCATGCATGCATGCACACACAAGTAGAAAATAAAAAGCTGGAATTTCTGAAAATGTTTATTAAAATAAATAAGAAAGATCTTTATTCTAACTAAAAATAACCAAATATGTGCCATATTAGATTAAATTCAAGAATGAAAATCTAATATCTTAAAAGATTTTTACATTTTTATTTATATGTTTCTGTGCATTTGTGTGTGGGTATGTGCACCTGAGTGCAGATGCCTATGGAGGCCAGAAGAGGGTGTCAGATCCCCTGGACCTGGAGTTACAGGTGGTTGTGAACAGCCCAATGTGGGTGCTGGATACTGAACTTGGGTACTCTGCAAGAGAAGCAAGAGCTCTTAATCACTGAGTCATTTCTCTAGCTTGTGCTGGCTAGTTTTATGTCAACTTGGCACAAGTTGGAGTCACTGGAAAGGAAAGAACCTCAATTGAGAAAATGCCTCCATAATATTTGGCTGTAAGACATTTTCTTAGTGATTTATAGGGAAGAGCTCAGCCTATTGTGTGTGATGGCATGTGGTCCTGGGTTCTATAAGAAAGCAGGCTGAGCAAGCCAGTAAGCAG